CCTTCATGTGAGTTCCAGAGAAAAAGGTCAGTATTTTCTGTGGCACAACTTTTATTTTTCCACATTATCAAGTGGGAGTCTTCACATATATGGATATGTAGTCTATATTTTAAGCATTTATATTGTCACTGAATAGAATAACTGAGGTTATAAGATTCAAGGACTTTGTTTTCATACTATTAACAATAAAAACAAAACTTCTATGTTCTCCATAAAAGCAAATTTACATTCGCTACTATAGTAAGAATGAACTATCTTCATATGTGAAATAATTTAAATGAGTTTTTCAGAAAAAAATCTGTATTTAAAGAGAAAAAGCACTGTAAGTGATTGCATTGTCAATAGAGTAAGCTAGGAGACATATATAATGGTTAAATTATATGTTAAAATATAGTAAGATAGATGATAGATAGATATATAGATAGCGATAGATAGATAGATAGATAGATAGATAGATAGATAGATAGATAGATGACAGACTTATAAACATGAGACTTAAAAACTAAGGAGATCATTTGGCTAAAATCCAATATTGTCTTTATTTCAGTTTAATTGGAAGAGGATCTCAAATTCATCTTCTCCATGAGATATCAGGAACCTGGATTTCTCTTTGTACCAAAGGTTAATAAGAAATGTGTCTGCAAAAGTCAAACAGCATTAAATACCAAAAACTGATTATTATTCTACAGGAGTTGTTCTGTCATTCATAATCTCTCCATGCTTCAACCTTCCACAGCTAATCTTTAATGGATGACATTCAAGAAAGAAAAATAACTAACACATAAAGCAGAGGCTCTAATGTGAGCTTTTAAGAAATAAAAAATATGAGGCTTTTGAAGTAATATCAGTATTTTAAACAATATAAAATAGTACTGAAAAATACTATTCTATAAAATGTTCACAGTATCTGTATTATAATAATACTACAAAACAGACAATAAGCACTAGGCATTGCCACAAAAATTTTAGAATAGAGATAATATTTAATTGAACAACATGCTTTTAAAAGTTAAAAACATATCACTAACATAAAAGAAATTTGTGGATGCAATCAAGGAATAGAATAGTATGTTTTACTATTGTCCTCAAATGAATTAAAATAACATTTAAAATGTTAGGAGTTAACCACTTTTTATAGTTCAAAAGAGATACTTTAAAAGTGTAAATAATTGATATTTCTGCTATTTTCCTTTAAAATATACCCTAATATTTGCAGGTTATCGATAATGTTTTCAAATAACATTACACATGTGTGTAATTTAAATAAGTTAAAATGAGTAAGTCCTCAATAGGAACAATGAAACAAACATTCCTTAAGCTAAACATATGGGCAGTTTCTCTAAAGCTAAGTGAAACCTCATTACTATATGTTTCTCCTTTATTTTCTCTTCTTGTAGAGGTCATTTTTTCCCCAAGGCAGCTCAGGCTAACTTTGAACTTAAAAGTTTAAGTCTGAAAATCAGGGGAAATGAAAAGCTGTGGCAATCAAATAAATAATAATGTTTAAAATGAATACAAATAAGCTCTTTGTGAAACAGACTAGGTATAAGCAGAGTCATTTCCTGTTATTAGATTGGGCAAGTACTTATGCCTCTACAAATCTGTTATAAGCATAACAATGTGTTGACATTTATTGAGGCCTTCTATGAGTTACACACTTTACAAGCATTAGCCTAAAAATAAAAGCCAACTACAACAGATTTTAACCACTGCTGAGTGAGACTGTCATTATATATGTAAGAAAAACACTGGGGAAAAAAGTATAGATTCACATCTGAATACTTAACCACAACCAGTATGTGTATGAAATGTTGTAGCTGAAAAGCATTTGCAAGACAAAAAGAAATGCTTGACAGTTCAAATCTTTCTTTTTTTCTGATGGTCAGTACCTAGTTCATAATGAAGCCTCAACATACAGTTCTTTGATATGTAATGAAGTTTGCATTGTTCCTAAAAAGCATTTTAGGATCTAGGAAAGTATCAAGCACTATTGATGACAATGACCAAAGGTGGGACAGGTGAAGGGCAAACTGAGATTTCTTGTGACAGTGGACACAACTGAGCTTCAAATGCTCATGAGGACATGTAGAATGGTAACATTCACATTATGTAAGCATGAACATCGAAACTAAGGAAGCTAAATAACCACATGCATGAAAGTTGACCATAGTTACACAAACCCAAATATTTTCTACTTCATTTCTCTTACTTTGGATTAATAATTTACTAAAATGCTATGAAATATATACGTGTCAATAATAATTTTTCTTAAATTCAATCCCTTGTTTCCCAATTTTGTGATGTAATTTTTCTGTATACTTCCCTTAGTGTACTAACAGTAAACCACTAATGGGGACTGTGGTTAGGTAAAGTCTAGAAACTCTGCCAAGTGTTTTCCATCACTGCTCTAGGTCTCACTTTCTTAAAAACGGGGTCATTCACTGGACCTGGAGCTTAATAAATTCATAAGACTAGCTGAGTAGCAAGTTCCAGGATCTAACTCTTCACCTCCTTAGCACTAGTGTAACAGGCACATGATCCGTATCTGACATTTTACTAGTGTCCTGCGGAATCCCAACTCAGCTTCACTTACAGACCAACAAAATTTGTCTTTCATTAATACCTATTCATAAATATTGCTTCTTTTAACACAATAATGTTACAAATGCTATTTTCTTACTACTTTTTTCACTTAATTTTGAGATATGACTTTTGCATATCATCAAATATTTCTCAGAAAATTCATAATTATTGTATCACATCTCACAACATGAATATATCAAAATTTATATATCAATTTCCTCATTAAATTTATTAATACACTTATAATCAGAAATAACACAATAAAAACATTCTTATAAATTTGTATATTTTATATATGCCAAGAAAATATCTAGTAGGAGGACAATTTGCCACATATTAACAAATTTTAAACCTACAAATATTTTTGCATCAAATTTCTTATTTCTAGTATTTAATTTGGTGTTCAGCCAGTATTTACCTTTTTGTGGAAGCTGTTTTGCAAATATTAACAGTTTACTTACAAACATTATAATAGATGCATGTATACTCATCTTATACTTCACCAAATACACATTCTGAAATAAAAATATGACGTATAGTAATAAAAACAAACATCTATACTTATGTGGATTATTGGTTCTTTTATGTTACAAGATACGAAGCATCACTAACATGTAATTAGAGTCCTGCACTGCTTCTCTTTCTATTACTCTGCTGGTGTAATTGCTTTTATTTTCTAGTGTTTTGCTTTGGAATGCAATTCATACATATGAGGTTGAATGTGAGCTTATTAAAACTTTGTATCTATTTAGAAATGATGAAAATTTCAAGAATGAACCAGCGACAGAAGTTTTTAGAGTTTCAAATCAGTGCAATGTTCTCCGTTTCTTTTTTAACATTGAGTCCATTGCTTTGTTTCAGAAAAACTATGCAACCCTGTCATTTTCATCAGTTAGGCGGAAAGAAGACATTTAAAACACCTTCAATGTGGTAAAACAATATTCTGTTATGAATTAAAAATACATGACTAGTAAGAACAATTAAATTCCTTCCATTTTTGTATGTATTACTCAAATAGTTCAAACAAGAATTCTTAAATATATAATACATAAATATTTGAATGACATACTGAACTGTATTATTTAAAAGTTAAATAGTAACTATTACTGCTAGATGAGTTTCTTCAAGAGATAGGCTTCTAAGTTACATTAAATCATTAGTATGCCATGATAGTACCCTCAAATATTCAATTATTTCTATACTATATACAAAGTAAATTATGCATATATTCCAAAATAAATTTTACAGCACTATCTTAGCAATATATATGTATACATAATTTTTATAAAAATTCAGGAAACTTTCCAAATGTTCTAAAGTTGTATTATTTATTTTAATGTATTATTAATTTTCCTTAAATATAGTCTTATATTTCCCTTTCAAAAAGAAACAAAAAGTTTATGGTTATTTGTCCTTAATAAAAAAGATGCCATCAAGTATTCAATTGGATTATTCATTTGCATTCATCTGAATTATATTATCACAGCAGTTTTTATTTAGAAATACCATCTATAATAATATTTTGAAAATAAACTATATTAATCATCTCTCTGATCTAAAATTCCCCAATTCTTTTATATTTGTAAGCAAGTTAAGTAGTTTATAACAGTTATAACCTGAAATTAATCATTAAATAATTTCATAATACATGAAATTGTTGAAAAAGTAATATCTAAAATACTTCTGAATGTTATCTATCATTTTACAAATTTTCACTTTTTTAGCACAGGAAAATAGTGCAAGAAAAAAAAGCTACAATAACTACACTGATGGAGATCACAGACTTCAGAATCCAGTGACCACATCTCTATCATATAATTATATTTTAAATTTTTCTTCAGGCAAAGACTTGTGTATGAGCAAGATAGTTTCCAAAATCTAAGGCACTGATGTACAACATTAAAATGTGGCAACCTTTCACTTTAATCTCAAGGAAGACATTACCTCTGTCATCATCTACATTATCAGATGTTAACCTATTAACTGCATAAAACAGTTTTTTTAAATCAAACGTAGGTTTCCAGTGGCAATGAATATAGCACTATCTTAATACAAAGGAGAAGTATTTCCTCTCCAAGAGCTAAAACAATAAGTGGTATTTGAACTGCTGGTTGAAAGGTAGACGCACTGGTAATCATTATTTCTCCTTGTTTGTTCAGGCCCTTCCAACAAAACAAACAACCTTTTTGTGATTGGATTGACATGGTGTTAACAATGCATTTAATGCCCAAATCAGTGTGAATACAGGTAAAGCCCTCACTAATACCAGTACCAGGATGTTAAAGCCACCTATTTTCTAAGCAGCCAAAAGGGAAAAGAAAGCTTCTCCTCCTTTGGCAAACAAGGCAATGAGCTAGTATCCACCAGCACACATCCTACAATCACCTTCTAGCTTAGCGTGAAGATTCATCTCCTACCTGCAGTCCTTTCAGCGATTTCAGCCTCTGCTGCTTTCTCGAGGAGTTCCAACTTAAGCTCTAATTTTCTCTTTTCTTTATCTTCTTTAGCCAATTTTTCTTGAAGCTAAAACAAATTAGAAAGAAAATCATTCTTACCTGATAAATGCCTTCCATGCATAATTAATTCCAAAGTAAGATTTTGTTGTTCTTAAATGCTTATATAATATTAGATTTAATTGCTTAAAAACACTGACTCTCAGGGAAAAAAATTAAGGTTGAAATATACTCTCTAAGTAGTAACTACCTGAAATGATATAAAAAGGAAAAATTGTAATATACACACATACATACACACACACACATGCATATGGACATAAAACAGGAACAGTATTACTAAAAATATGTACTACGGAAACCATTTCATTCATTCCTTTGTCTTAAAGCAAAGGATTCTAAAGGTCTCTACTGATCCCAAAATAATGGACAGCAGGTTTATGCTTCTCTTAGTAATTCTAATATTTTGAAAAACTTCATTAGGACTATAATATTAATATCTGACACAGACCTGACTGTGACTACTGTTTCATCATATTTCTATAAATTGGTACATCATCTGCTTTAAAATTGGTATGTCATAACTGCTACTCAAAGTATGGAAAATATATCATGCTCATATAGAATGCTTCCTTTTATTTTTTCCCCATTTTTCCCTTCTTGTCCTCTAAGTTTTCTTCCAGAAACAACATTCATGCTTCAGTCTGATTAGGTCAAACAATGAAAATATTAAAATCAGAAAACTAAATAGAATTTTCAAAAGAAGCAACAGACAGTGAACATTATTTAATAAAATTACTTGTAGACCAAATGAATGTTAAGGAAGAACGAGAGGAAACAAAACATGGCATGTACACTGAGCTGGATGCATGTAATAGTATAATAGGAGACAAGACATATAATATCATTTGCAACTTTGACGTTTCATTACATACATTACTGAAGTGAAAGAATGCATAGTTACTAATAAAAATGAAGAAAAATTACAAAGTAGCATGGAAATAGCTGTGAATATAACCCACATTCCATAAGGATGAAGCTAAGTTTTACTACAGTGAATTTGAATATTTGCTTTATAGCAATATAAATTACCAAAGCTTTATGAAAAATGGTGATATTATAGAAACCAAAAAAAAGGTTGTTTTCATAGCCAGTCAGTTAACTGAACCATACCTGGATGGCAGGATAACATAAACCTACTGTTGAGGCATTAAAACACAAAATAAAACTGAGTAATAGTGGACAGCAAATAAACTGAAATAGTCAATAGCTGAGACACTGTTTACAACAATTAGACTTTTTATATTTCTATACCTTTTGATTTCTTGTTCTGAGAATTTCCAATTCTTTTTGAAGACAGGTTACTGATATATCTTTATTTAAGTCTGGGGTAACATGATGAGAAGTCACAGATTCATAATTCATATCATTCTTCTCACATTCCATAATACTATAATAAAAAGAATTATTAAATAATTTATATATCATATTTCACAAATGACATAAATTTCATATTAACAATAAATATGTAAAGATATTTAAGCTTAAACTTTTTATGAAGTAAACAGTGTGATGGCTATAAACATTATATATATATGTATGTATATAGCAACTTACAGATATACCAGTTTATCAGTGGGGATAATTTAGTTTGTAGAAAGCACATAGCGATCCCAAAGAGACCCTGGTGAAGTATACTTACAAACGGGTTCAGGTTTTAGAAGCTATAAATGTTTTGATTTATAGTTCTCATTAGGATCTACATATTTTTTGCTTTTCTGTAAGTGGAAATAACCATTTTCCCAATTTTATTAAAACAATATCATATAATATTTTAATTATTAAATGGAAGACATTGAAATTAATTTCTATTCCCCAAAGATAATGGTAAATATAATCCACAAGGCAACTGACAATGATATCAATCTGTAAGCAGGTAGTATAAAGAAGAGATGAGAACAAAATGTATTGTTTTCTGGTGTTATGGTATTAAGTCTGTAAATACTAATGGATGAAAGTATTACTTTAGACAGTCTTCAGCAATGAGTCCTGGGACGGTCAATAAGTATAGGGCTATAAGCAAGCTCTCATATTGAATACTAAGATCTCATGGCAGGAATGTATAAGCTCTACCATTTATCTTTCTTACACGATTATAACAATTATACATTTTTCCATCATCTTTGCCTCTATACCTTAAAATATACCCCAAATAGCATTTAAGTAAGAATATAACACTATATAAGAGGAATACCAATACAGTTAGTGATTTTACTATGTATTGATATCAATTAATATATTTACTTTTTTTATTTTAATTAGAAACAAGCTTGTTTTACATGTCAATCCAAGTTCCCTCTCCCTTCCCTCCTCCCTGTCCCCCACTAACCCCCTATTTCAGCCACTTTCTTCTCCCCAGGGAGGGTGAGGTATTCCATGGGAGATCTTCAAAGACTGTCATATCATTTGGAGCAGGGCCGAGAACCTCCCTCCATGTGTCTAGACTGAGAGAATATCCGTTTATGTGGGGTGAACTCCCAAAGTCCATTCATGTACTAGTGATAAATAATGATCCACTACCAGAGGCCCCACAGATTACACAGACCTCCAAACTGACATCCAAATTCAAGGGATCTGGAACAGTCCTATGCTGGTTTCCCAGCTATCTGTCTGGGGTCCATGAGCTCCCCCTTGTTCAGGTCGGCTGTTTCTGTGGACCTTTCCAGGCTGATCTTGAACCCTTTGCTCATCATTCCTCCCTCTCTACAACTGGATTCCAGGACTTCAGTTCGATGTTTAGCTGTGGGTGTCTGTCTCTGCTTCCATCAGCTACTGGATGAAGGCTCCAGGATGGCATATTAAGGTAGTCCTCAATCTCATTATCAAAGAAGGGCATTTAAGGTAGCCTCTCGACTTTTGCTTAGATTGTTAGTTGGGGTCATTCTTATAGATCTCTGGACATTTCCCTAGTGCCAGATTTCTGTTTAAGCCTATAACATCTCCCTCTATTAGGGTGTCTCTTTTCTTGCTCTCCTGTATTCTTCCCCTGACTCAGTCTTCCTGTTCCCTCATGTCCTCCTCTCCCTTCCTCTTCTCCCCTTCATTTTCATAACTCTCCCTCCCTCCCATGCTCTCAATTAGCTCAGGAGATCTTATTCCTTTCCCCCTCTCTGGGGGACCATATATGTCGCTCTTAGGTTCCTCCTTGTTTCCTAGCTTCTCTGGCAGTTTGGATTGTAGGCTGGTAATCCTTTGCTCTATTTCTAAAATTCATATATGAGTGAGAACATAATATGTTTGTCTTTTTATGACAGGGTTACCTCACTCAGGATGGTTTCTTCTAGTTCCATCCATTTGCCTACAAATTTCAAGATTCCATTTTTTTCCCACGAAGTAGTACTCCATTGTATAAATGTACCACATTTTCTTTGTTCATTCTTCAGTTCATGGGCATCTAGGTTGCTTCCAAGTTCTGGCTAGTACAAATAATGCTGCTATGAACGTAGTGGAACAGACATCCTTGTTGTAGAAATGTGCATCTTTTGGTTATCTGCCTAAGAGTAGAATTGCTGAATCTTGTGGTAGACTGATTGCCATTTTCCTGAAGAATCTCCATACTGATTTCCAAAGTGGCTGTACGAGTTTGCACTCCCACCAGCAGTGGAGATGTGTTCCCCTTTCTCCACATCCTCTCCAACATAAACTGTCATTGGTGTTTTTGATTTTAGTCATTCTGACAGGAGTAAGATGGTATCTCAGAGTTGTTTTGATTTGCATTTCCCTGATGGCTAAGGATGTTGAGCACTTTCTTATGTGTCTCTCAGCCATTTTAGATTCCTCTACTGAGAATTCTCTATTTAGTTCCATATCCCACATTTTAATTGAATTATTTGGTGTTTTGGTGACTAGTTTCTTGAGTTCTTTGTAAATTTTGGAAATCAGCCCTCTGTCAGATGTTGGGTTGGTGAATATCTTTTCCCATTCTGTGGACTGCCTTTCTGTCTTGTTGACTGTGTCCTTTGCCTTACAGAAGCTTCTCAGTTTCAGGAGGTCCCATTTATTGTCGATCTCAGTCTCTGTGCTACTGGTGGTATGTTTAGGAAGAGGTCCCCTGTACCAATTCGTTTGAAGATAACTCCTACTTTCTCCTCTAAGAGGTTCAGTGTGGCTGGATTTATGTTGAGGTCTTTGATCCTCAATGAATATATTTTACTGAGTAATTTAGAACAGAATAGCAGCCCCACAAAAGATTTTTTCTTTTCTTTCTTGGTTTTTCAAGACAGAGTTTCTCTGTGTAACAGCCAAACTTACAGAGATCTACCTGCCTCTGCCTCTGCCTCCCAAGTGCTGGGATTAAAGGTGTGTGCCACCATCACTGAACCCCAAAAACACTTTTAAAATTAATGATCTAGAAAATATGAAAACAGAATTATGCTATCATTTAAAAATCTAATGTTATCTTTCCTACACATGATTGTCACAGTAGCATAGTCCCATTGATGATAAACACAGGTATTAAACTCAAATTCCTTCACATTGGATGACTTGATGCTGCGGAATGTAAATTAATAAGAAAGGTAAAGGTACATAGAGTACAGGGTCACTCAAAGTATTCCAATTATGCCAAACAAAGAATAGAGAGCTATGTAAAAAAACATCTTTAAGAAGGTTTGAGCTATGGTGAATCTCACATCAACTTCATAAGTATCCTTACTCCCATAATGAAGAGTCACAGAAAATGATATTGAGGAAGAATCAAACTTCATTGCTTTCTTTAAACTCATCTTGTGCTGTTGCTCTCAGCTGTCTAGACACATTATATCAATTTCATGGAAGCAATAGAAAGCTTTTGCAGGGTCCTGAAATTGTTTTTTATTTTACTGAAACATTAAGTTTATTTGACACCAAAATGAAAACGAGGGACAATGTATTAAAGAAGACACACTGTTTCATTTCTTTCCTTTTAAATTAAAAACTAAAACCAACATGCACCTGCACTGTGTAGACGGCCCTTCATCTGGATAAGGACCAATGGCCTGTACGTTCCTGGCGTTCCTCCCTGGTAGTTCAAGGTCCTCAGGTGTGACTTCCTTGTTTAACTGATGCATGTTTTGTTCAGAATTCATAGTCAGCTGCTCATCTACTTCTTATTGTGGACTCTTGCAAAAGACAAATGGCCGTATCTGCACTAAAACAAAAATATATGATACATAAAAGGACATAGCCACATATGAAAATTGTTGAATCAAATGAACATTCTTATGAAAACATCCTATAGCTTTTTACCACAGTTACTAGTCTTACTCTACTGTAGTTGATTAAATATGTGCAGTCCAGCATATGTCATCCACATTTTTACTTTCCTGAACAGAAGATGTTTAGAGTAAATAGCTTACAAATCAGGCTATATGTGACAATGTTGGCAGAGCAGGTCATACTTATCTCACTGAATCAAATGCTCTGGGAGTGGAATCAGCTCCTATATTTTTACAGTGCCTAAATGATTACAGTTCCTTTGAGGACCACTGGTCTAAACACAGTATTCTCAAAGTACTAAGCAATAAGGATATGGTTATAATGAATCAATAGAACTATGGTTCAGACTGCCTAGGGGAACATTACAACCTTAATAAGTGCATAACACTGTACAAGTTATTTAATACAAAATCTTCCTGTTTATAAAATATATATACAATATCAATGACCTAACTAAGTACCTTACACACCAATAAATATGACTTATTTCAGTAACATCATAATATTAAAATGAATGCAAGAATAATTTTAACATTAATCTCATCAAATACATACAATATATTATAAAACATACTTTGTATGCTTAGTTATATCACAAAAACGACTTAAGCTGCATGCACTAAAAACATTTATTTTAAAGAGATAAACTATATTTAATGGCATAGAAGTTTCAAAGGAAATCATATATACAAAATCAACTCTGTTATTACTAAGATTTAAAAAACACAACTACTGATGGCAACATGTACTTCATTAACTCTAGAAGAAATAATTCTTCAGCCTTAAAAAGAAGTGTTGGTGATATGGTAGGAAATCTGCCAACATAAAATCCTTTTGTGACACAAAAGTAATATTAAAATACAAAGAAACAGTATATAAGAAACTCTCACAAAGCTTCATTTGATTTTTTTTATTTGTATCAACTGCGGATAATAAAAACTTCAAGTCCACATATTACTCATATTAGTAAATGGAAGCTGTATCACAAATCACTTACTTCTGGTAAATTATTTTGATTTCTCTTTGTTGGGGAAATGAATTAGAAGAGAGAAATGTTATTTGATAACTGCCTACTATGAAATAACCTTGACATTTCAACATAATATTATCCTTAAATCCTATATTTAAAGATTAGTGGGTGATTTTTGAGATTTGAAAACTCTTTCGTGGTTTGCGTTATGTACTCATTCATGTTGGGGAAGTCCTGTTATTTGTCAATAAAGCACTGCTGGCCAATAGGAATCTAGATAGATGGGACTAGGAGTCCAGGAGGACTCTGGGAAGGAGAAACACAGGGAGTCAAGATGTAACACCATGGGGTAGGAAGCCCCGAACTACTCTCCGGTAAGAGAAATACTTAGATTAACAATTATGGGGTAATTACTTAAGTCAGAGCTAGCCAGTAAGAAACAAGTAAGGCCAACAGCTTCATAATCAATATAGCCTCCTGTATGTTTATTTGGGACTGATGCGGCTCTAGAACCAGGCTGGCAGGAAGGCTTCTCTCAAGGAAAAGGCTCCCTTTACACATTCACCATTCTGTTTTCCTAGAATACCTGGCATAAGAATGGAATCATCACACTCTAAATGAGAGAATTTTACAGGCACTAAGGAGACATTTTATCAGTAGTAGATTGTGCTTTATAACATGAATATATATCTCTATAAGTAACTCAAATGGAAAGTATTACTAAAGTAATAAAAACTGCCTTCAGAGACATTTCATTAAAAAATAATTCTAGATCTATGCTGTTCTGCTGTTTATGAGAACAAAGACACTGTAAAAGGGGCAGGATAAGCCTGGAGAAACGAGGTTACAAAAGCCCCAGATTCCTATGGCAATGACACACTAACCATGTTAGATTCTTAAGTTCTGTCCCTTAAGAACAATAAACCACTATCTACAACTTGGTCCAATTACCTACTTATGTATTTCTAGATCCAATTCAGCATCTTTCTCCATCCAAAGTTTTTATTCCTAATGTTCTGTTTTTGTTGTAGTTTTTTAACCCACTTCTAATAGCTATGTTGCTATTTGCTGCTACATTTATAACTTTTTTGCTGGTTTAATCTATCAAATTATAAGCCCCCTTGAATTCTTCATAAATCACCAGTATTTCTCTGTGATCATCCTCCATTCCAAACTTCTAGAAGAGATACAGAAGCTTCCAAGTAAAGGGGAATTTCCTCCCAGATCTTAGTAGTTATAATATTTGGAGCAATAGTAAAAAAAAGTGCATACATTTCTGACACTTCTTTTTAATTCTTTTAAAACTTTTGTTTTATTTTATGTGTGTCAGTGCTTTGGGTGTATGTATGTCTGTGCACCAATTGAATGTTACCCATAAATGTTAGAAGAGGGCGTTGGACGCATTGCAACTGGAGTTGTGAGCCACCATGTGGGTGCTAGGAATCGAATGCTGGGACTCTGTTAAAGCAGCCAGTCAGCCTCCACTTCTGAGACTTCTTGATTTTAATTCTAAATGTTTTTAAATGTTCATAGTTTAGAGGCCATGGCAGAAGGACTACTAGATAGTGGATTTCAGGCCAGCCTGGACTTCAGAGTAAGATCCTGTAATAACAATATGCCCCCTCTAAAAAACACCCTCAAAGGTTAATATTTGAAACATTTTATATAAGGAAACCATATTGTGTGGTTTAGCTCTATTTCTAATTTTGTTCAGTCATAAAACCTTTTAGATTCCTAATTTGAACTGTTCATCTGACATTTGAAGCCTGCTCTGCAAATCAAACTATCTATACTCTTTTATTGAGAATTTAATTTTAATTTTACTTCAGAGTAAACAAGGCTGATTTATAAAATCTTCCCACCTGCCTGACTGTATTTTATTTTCCAAAAAAAAAATCAGGTTGGCAAATACTATTTCATCAAATTAATGCTAAATAGTGGAAAGGCTTTGGAATGTTCTTCTTTACTACTTATCCTATATAAGTATTTGACCATTATATGGAAAATTTGATCTTTTAAATTCTGTTATGTATTCAGCATTTGATACTCATTTGTGGAAATCACATCTTAAAATATACCCTGTGGCAGTGCACAAGGGAAACAATGTAAGAGAAGAACAGGCACTTGTATGAAGGACTCTAGTATAATTACAATGAGAAACTGATACAATGGTTTGGAACAAGGACAAGGCAAGGAATATACCTATGATTATATGTAAGATATAGGCATACTCCATATTTATTCTCTATGAAGACTTTACAAAAGAATTTGAACCAAAAATGAAAAAGTATACAAACAACTGAACTGACATGGTTAGTCTGGCAATCAAAAAGTTGATAGATTGTAAGAAAAAAACACCTTAAGAAAATTAGTCTTCAGGGATCATTGTGTCAGAAGAGACAAAAGCATTTTAAGAGCCAGAGGAATAGGGAATTCACTGTAAAGTTTCATCTCCTATAAATGTCAGAAGTGACACCAATCAAGTCTCCCTTCACTCCTATTATGACTGTCTAAACATGAGCTGAACAAAGATAACAATAGGTGGGGATATTGTGGGTGGGGAAAAGCCTAAGAGGACTTCATCCTACATAAAGATCTATAGGCAATTTAGGAATGCAGAGAACAGGAGATATAGTATTCCCCGGTGAAGATCACACCAATTGGTTAATCAAAACCAAATGATCAGCCCTGTAGACTTATAGCGTGCAATGTTACACAGAATGAGTAGTTTGCGTTTATGTATTTAGGAATACACATACATACACACATACATACATACCAAGAGAGCAAGGGGATCAGGGAAGTATTTTGAGGAAGGAAAACAGGAAATGATGTGACTGTAGTATAATATATATATAATCTATTTCTGAATCTCTATACACACCTATATAGTTATAGGTATCTATGGATACATATAGATATCTACAGATAGATATAGATATATCTAGATAGATAGATTGATCTCTCTACATATGAAGAGAGTGTGGTTCCGCCTCCTCCTCAGTATGTCTGCTGGTTCGTAATGGGGGGAGCAAACCAAAGCAGGGAACAAGGTTCAGATGGCTGGGGATATGATGGAGATAGCTCTCAGGAGATGACTTTAATCAGCTTAACTTTATTCCAGAGTAGAGGAAATATATAGGATTGGGAAGCCCAGGGACAAACCCTGATTTGCATTAAGTGGCATGCTCCAAAAAATGGAAAGATCTCTCATGCTCTTGGATAGGTAGGGTCAACGTAGTAAAAATGGCAATCTTAAACCAGCCATTGGTGGTGCATGCCTTTAATCCCAGCACTCGGGAGGCAGAAGCAGGCGGATCTCTGTGAGTTCAAGGCCAGCCCACAGAGCGAGTTCCAGGACAGCCTCCAAAACAAAATAGAGAAACCCTGTCTCGAAAAACCAAAATAAATAAATAAATAAATAAATAAATAAATAAATAAACCAAAAAAAAGGCAATCTTACCAAAAACAATCTACAGATTCTGGGAACCAATACCACATGGAGGGATGCTCTCTCAGCCTGGACACATGGAGAAGAACCTGGGCCCTTTCTGGGATGATGTGACAGACTCTGAAAATCCCTCATGGAGGCGCTTGCCCTCTCTGGGGAGCGGATAGGGGGATGGAGTAGACTTGAGGGGTTGGGAAGATTGGGGGGTGGGGGAGGAGGGGAGGGAGGGGGAATTGAAAGTGACATGCATAAATAGTTAAATAAAAAATATATTAAATAAATAAATAAATAAATAAATAAATAAATAAATAAAAGAACTAAACTTTGGTTCCCTACGGAGAGATACTATTGCAGCCCAGGTACACGAAAGAGGGCCTATGCCCTCCCTCAAATGAGTGACAGACTTTCATGATTCCCCCATAGAAGGCCTCATGATCTTTGGGGAGTGGGTACAAGTGGGTTGGGGTGATCAGTGGGGGACATGGAAGGATGGGAGGAATAGAGAACTGGA